AAAATTTAGGGTTTAGGGTTTAGGGCTTAGGGCTTAGGGCTAAGGGTTTAGGGTTTAGGGTTTTGTCGTTCGGAACCCTAGAAACCCACCCCGTCTGAGAGGCAGGCTCCTCCTCGTCGTCCAGCTCGAGTGGCGCAGCGGCGCCTGCAGTCCAAGCTTGGACCCAAAACCCTAAACCCTAAACCCTAAACCCTAAACCCTAAACCCTAAACCCTAAACCCTAAACCCTAAACCCTAAACCCTAAACCCTCGCGTTTGGGGGGATAGGGTTTACAGTTTGAAGCAACCACAGCAGCTAGGGGGGTTGAAAATACAAGTACCCTTTTGAAAGGGTCTTCAGGGGCGTATTTGGGGGGGGAACTGCCTACTTGAGAAAATGCCCACATCAGCGTGTCTCAACGTTTGCTCGGATGCGAGAAGCGCTTGTTGCAAAAACAGCAACTTGACAAGAAACAGCTGACCCGGAGGGCCTTGAACCAAAGCCCCCCCCCAGCCAGCCCCAAACGCCCCTAAGCCCTGAAACCTCAACCCGCAACCTCCTAGACCCAAGAATCACCTAGGAAAAAACGGGTGGTTTTCAGGGGGCTTAGAAGGGTACCTAAGACCTCAAAAACACGGGGAATAAGGGCCTAATCTAAGTCCTAGCCTCTCAACCCTCTGCTTGAGCTCATGTAAGGTTTAGGATTTAGGATTTAAGGTTTGGGGTTTAGGGTTTAGGGTTTAGGGTTGAGGGTTGAGGGTTGAGGGTTGAGGGTTGAGGGTTGAGGGTTTAGGGTTTAGGGGTAGGGTTTGGGGTTTGGGGTTAAGGGTTCCTGCAACCGCCAGGCCCCCGGACACTGCCGGGCGCCGGACGCATTGGTCACCGGGGCCTGCTTCGGGGCTTGATCCCCTCCCCCTAACATTAACCCCCCCCCCTCCACCCCCTAAAAAAGATACCCCCCCCCCCCCCCAATGAGTTATATTATATAGTTTACAGTATGGTTAGATGAAATCGTTATAATATATGGATATATCATATAGATATACTATATAGCTATATGCAACCGTTATATTATAGTATATTGGGGGCTTTTAATATTAGGGGGTAGGGGGGGGGGGGGTTTAATATTAGGGGGAGGGGGGTATCAGGGACAATTTGTTGGTACCTGATGAGGCTACGAGGGACCGCAAATTATGAAAGCCTGAATTTGGAACAACTACCATTTGCAACTGAGGGGTTACAACAACTCTTTCTTTTCGGGGGGAGGGGGGGGGGGTTAGGGTTTAGGGTTTAGGGTTTGGGGTTCAGGGTTCAGGGTTCAGGGTTTAGGGTTTAGGGTTTAGGGTTTAGGGTTTAGGGTTTAGGGTTTAGGGTTTAGGGTTTAGGGGGTTTAGCTTGTGCTGAAGGGCTTCGTGGCCACCGTCTTGGGATGCCTTGAGTTTGAAGGTCCCTGAGAACTTCGGAGAGGGGTCTAGCCCTAAACCCTAAACCCTAAACCCTAAACCCTAAACCCTAAGCCCTAAACCCTGGGGATTCAGCGATCAGCCCTTGACTTAAACCCAATAAGCCCGAAACCCGAAACCCGAAACCCAGTAAGGGAAGAGCTGTTTAGGGTTTAGGGTTTAGGGTTTAGGGTTTAGGGTTTAGGTTTAGGGTTTAGGGCTACGGGTTTAGGGTCTAGGGGGCTTAGGGAGTCCAAGTAATCTCAAAAGCCTGTTCAGCAAGGGCTAGCCCTAAACTCTAAACCTGAACCCTGGACTCTTTAAGAGATAAGGGCCCAGAAGGTTTAAGGTTTTGTTTTTCGCGTTAAGGGTCAAGGGGTGACGGGCATAAGGGTGAACTAACAGTTTTAAGGGGTTTTAGGCTTTTGGGCTTAAGGCCGGACGGGTTTCAGAAGTCTTTCCAGGCCTTGCGGTCCCCTATGTTGTCAAGCCCTATAAACCCCTAAGCCCTCAAACCTAAGCCCGAAACCCAGAGCACTATGAACCCCAAACCCGGAGTCCTAAACCCTGAACCCCAAACCCTAAACCCTGAACCCTATGTAGTTCAAAATATGCCAACGTCCTTGACAAAAGGAGCTTACAGACCCTAAGCCGAACCCAAAGCCCAAGACCCAAAACCCTTAGCCCTAAACCCTGAGCCCTAAGCCCTAGACCCTTAGCCCTAAGCCCTAAGCCCTAAACCCTAAACCCTAAACCCTAAACCCTAAACCCTAAACCCTACACAGCTCTTCCCCACCCGGACTTTGCCTCGGCGCTCAGAGCTTGGCCTGCGAAAGCGGGGCAGTTACCTGAACTCCTGCCACCCTTCAACTCCCTACAAGGGCTTAGGGTTTAGGGTTTTTAGGGTTTAGGGCTTAGGGTTTTTTAGGGTTTAGGGTTTAGGGTTTAGGGCTTAGGGTTTAGGGTTTCCAAACTCAGTGGTTCAGGGCTGCTCAGGCCTGGGTCGAGGGCTTTCGGGTTCATAGGGTTTGTGGAGTATATGAGGTTTACAGGGCTTTAAGGGCTTTTTGCAGGGTTTACAGGTTTTGTAGGGTCTTAGGTAAAAAACCCTAACCTAAAACCCTAAACCGGCCAGATCACCTCAACTGCCCTCACCCCAAACCCTAAACCCTAACCCTAAACCCTAAACCCTAAACTCTAAACCCTAAACCCTAAACCCTAAACTCCCAGGTGCCCTCGACTTTTTTCGCCGCCCAACAGCCGCATGCAGTCGTCGCTCAGAAGCTCCTCGGCGTGGACGTGTGGCACCAGCGGAGCCCAGCACAAATGGGGTTTAGGGTTTAGGGTTTAGGGTTTCGGCTTGGACTGAGAAAGATGACCAGAGCTTCGGGGTTAGGGCTTACAACACCAAGGGCTCTTCTTTTAAAATTAAGACGAGGATCCAGAACGGTTTAGGGCTTAGGATCAGAGACCGTTGGTACGGTTGGACCTCACTGGGGAGTTTTGGTGTCACCTGGCAGGCCCGAAATCCCTAATCTCAAGCGTCCTAATCCCTGAACAAGTTGGTATTAAGGACTTTTAAGGTTTTCCGGCGGGTGGGGGTCTTCCCCCCTTTTACTAGGATTTGCCTAAGAAATCCCTGATGATGATGGTGATTGTTGCTTGTTACCCGAAACCCTAAACCCTATATAAACCCTATATAAACCCTAAACCCCAAACCCTAAACCCTGAACCCCAAACCCTATAAGCCCTAAACCTTAAAGCCTTAAACCCTCAGTGAGCACTTGCTTCAGCTCAGTGGCCGACCACAGCAAGGGCGACGGCTGCGCCGACAGGTGGAGCCTGGGTCGCTACCACCACAATCCTGAAACCCTAAAACCCTAAATCCCTGAAACCCTAAAACCCTAAAGCCTAAACCCAAACCCTAAACCCTAAATCCGAAACCCTAAGCCCCACAAAGTTTTGTGGTTTAGGGCCTGCTGGTTGGGGTATCTAGTCTGTCTTGTCGCCTCCTTAGCCTCTCTACTAATTATGGCTGCTTGTGGTGTTCCATTAATCATGTGAGCTGCCCAATTTAACCCGACGAGCGTAAAACCCCCAAGCCCTGAATCCTTCAAACCGGAAGCCTTGAAACCCTAAACCCTAAACCCCAAATCCTACCCTTGGCAACCTCAAGCCCTAATCTCTGAAACCCCAAACCCCCCAAATCCCCTAAAAGGCTCTAAATCCGAAACCCTAAACCCTAAACCCAAAACCCTAAACCCTAAACTTCGGCCCAGGGGCGCCAAGGCCAGCAGATGCCGCGCTGAAAGCCGCGGATACTCCTGGACACGTAGGCCGGGCATGCGAAGGTGGTGAAGGTTCGGCTGTTTAAGCTCTACACTTCTTCCCTTATAAGGGATTTTAGGAGGGTTGCTTGCAACAAAAAACCTGAACAGTTTTAGGAGGGTCGGCAAGGATTTATCGAGCTTCGGGGCAGTTTAGGGTTTAGGGTTTTGGTTGTAGGGTTGAAGGTTCAGGGTTTTATTTTGCGACTCCAATTTTAAGTTCGTCTATCAGTGTCCAAAACCCAAACTCCAAAAAAGTCCTACAGCTTAACAAGAAACGGTTCGACCAACGGAACTCCTGAATTAGGACTTCGCGCCCGCTTCAGAAGCCTAACTGCCCCTAACTACGAACTTTGCGAGACAAGGCGCGTGGTCTCCGTGCACGATGGTCAAGCGATTTCCTCGTCTCAAGGCGAGGAGCGCCCAGACCGAACCCGAACCCCGAACATTTCTGGCCACTACTGCAACTCATGCGAGGATCATGAGAAGCGCGCAGGGGGCCCCGCCATCTACAGTAGATTATGTACGAGATTTATATACCGAAAACACACATATATATATATATACGCATATTAACCTAGATGTATCAGGGTTTAGGACTCAAGTTCTTGACTTCGGGGATGCTCGTGGGGGTTATCTGCCCTGAGGGTTCAACTTAGGCTTTGCGTCCTGGCCCTGGCTCTTCAAGGCCTTAAACCCTACAATTCCCACAGACCTTATGAAACCCCTTAAACCCTCTAAACCCCATAAACTCTACAAACCCTATACACCCTCTAAACCCTATAAGCCCTATAAACCCTCTTACCCCGATACACCCAACAAACCCGACTAACCCTATAAACCCTGAGAAGAACAAAATCAGCCCTATAAGCCCGGTTTCCTCTGTAAATAGCCATAAACCCTATAACCCAAACACCCTATAAAACCTATAAACCCCATAAATCCCATAAACCCAACAAACCCCATACATCCTATAAACCCCATGAGGGACAACCATAACTCCTACAAACCTTACTTGGAGGTTCATGCTACTTTCTAACCAATGATGACTGCACATATAACCCACTTAGAAGCCCCTTAAGTGCCCTACTATGGTTATAAGTACAGTTATACCTGGTTAAGAAGTACCATGAACCTCCAATATAGACGCCGTAGAAAAAACACAAAATCACCCTAAACCCTAAACCCTGAACCCTGAACCCCAGAGCCTAAACCCTAAACCCGACCCCCTGCGGCCAAAGCCTCGCTTGCTCAGGTCTTTGATGGGCAGCGCCAGGCACTTCCATTGGAAGTTCCGTTCTCAGTGCGAGGGTTTAGGGTTTAGGGTTTGGGGTTTAGGTTTTAGGGTTTGGGGTTTAGGGCTTGGGGTTTAGCGTTTATAGGGTTTTAAGGCTAATAGGGTTTATAGGGTTTGTAGGGTTTATAGGGTTTGCAGGGTTTATAGGGTTTACAGGGTTTGGAGTTTATATGCATCCCAAACCCTGAAACGCGAAACCTAGACCCTGAACCCTGGAAGACATTCTGACATCCTACATGGCCCGAATTTAACCAAAAACCAGCTGTCAGAGTAGGCATTGCTGCACACCACTCTAAGCGCCTGCTAAGAAGATGTGAAGAAGGAGCAGATATTTTTGGGGTTTAGGGATTGGGGCTTAGGGATTTTGATAAGTGGCCTGAAGCGGGAGCATCCTGCTGATCTAGCACACTCGGATGGCCTCTGGAATCAAGAACAATACTTCTTCAAAGGGTTTAGGGTTTAGGGTTTAGGGTTTAGGGTTTAGGGTTTAGGGTCAGTGATTACGGAAGAGTCGCACCCCTAACCCCCACCCAATCCAGCTGCTTGGCGCCAAGCGTCCACAGAGCCGATTGCGCAAGTGGCGCGTGAGGAAGTACTCCTCATCCTCTCGGCAGTGGGGTCTCTCATGGGGATGTTCCCCTTTATCACGCCCTCCTCGAAAACGGCACAACCCTGAACGCTAGATTTGCTCAAGAAACTGAGTCCCTTGAAAGACTTCATGTGTGGGCTCGTTCGCCTAAAAGTAAAAAGATCAACTGCACCCAGTTCTTCAGATGACACAATGCTTTCGATGATTGCCTTCGTCTACCACAAAAATGACCGTGATTTTGAGCAACCTCCCAAACCTCTAAGGGTAGTTCCATGGACCCGTAATTTGGTCCCTTACCCTCTTGAAGGGTTCTGAGGTATGGGCCCTTCATTTGTATAGGGTAAATAAGGGGTTCTTAAGGGGCACCCTTTTAAGGGCCCGGGGGACCATGTAACCTTAGAAAACCAAGGGTCCGAGGGTCCTAGAAATGAAACACTGCACCCCGCCCAGCCGAAGACCCGATAGCCCTTTTGCCCCTGATGGCAAGAACCCCTCAAGAGCCCTCATAAATTCCCTCAGGCTCAAAAGAACCATGTGAAATTAATCTCCATAGTTCTTTTGGGCTGCTCTCATCAAAACCCTTATAAGCACATTGTATATGTACAACTACAATGAACAAAAGCTGTCAACCCCCACCCGCAGGTCTTCGAGTGGCTAGGCGCCCCGGGGCCTGCGCCCTGGACACGCTGAGGCGGCTAAGCTGGCCCCGGCGCAAGGGCAGCAGCGACGCCGCGGGCTCGCAGAGCGTGGGGCCTTCAGGGTCATGAGGGATTTACATGAACCCTAAAATTGGGGGTCATATACCCTATACTACTTTAAGTCTTGCTTAAGGTATATGAACCCTATACCACAATAATTCTTATTTAGGGCATAAGAACCACAGGGGTTCAAGAGATCCGGGTTTTGAGGAGTTTGAGGGGGTGGCTTCAGGGGCTTGGTGGGTTTAAAGGGCTTCAAGGCTCTAGGGCTTCGGGGGTGGGCCGAAAACTGAATGCCTTGCAGGTTTAGGGTTTAGGGTTTAGGGTTTAGGGTTTAGGGTTTAGGGTTTAGGGTTTAGGGTTTAGGGTTTAGGGTTTAGGGTTTAGGGTTTAGGGTTTAGGGTTTAGGGTTTAGGGCTAGCCCCTGCTGAAAGTCAGAAAGGGTTGGAGGGCTTTAGGATCTCTTAAGGGCCTCAGGGGTTGCGTTTCAGCTTGACGCCCGGGTCTTTACTCAACTTGAAGGACTTCGTTGTTTGGTGGTTGAGAGCAAAGACTTTGCTTTGGGGGTGGTTCTATGGGCCACCAAGACCGGTGAAGGACGTGCTCTTGCAGGTGGGCCGGCTTGATGTCCGCTCCTGCGTAATATAGGGGCCTGACTAATTAGAATAGGGTTTTGGGGGTTGTTATAGTGCAATTACAGAGGGACCGTAAGGGAATATCCGCCGAGGCCTCGGGCCGGAGGTGTATAGGTTGTCAGAACAGGCACCAAATCCTCCCCAAAGCCATTTTTCGGACCCCTTTTTTTGCCTCAAATGGGTACCCCCCCTAAAAAACCGGGGTCCGCAAGCGGACGGTTCGCCAGAACCACAGGCAGTTGCCCCCCGACCCCCCCCCCCCGTGGCTGAGCAAAATAGGGTCTATTTAGAAGCTACCGCCTGGGATTATTAATCAATTTTAGCATATCCAAGACAACCCAGCTACTTCTCCAACAACGTCTCACGCATATGCGCACTTAGACAACTCATTTCGGACTGATAAATGTTTTGGCTCTTGCAATCTCAGACCCTAAGCCCGGAACCCTGACCACAAATTCGTACACTCTAAAACCCTACACAAGAAACTCTATACCGTATTTCCTAAACTCTAACTCCTAAACCCAGAATCTAGAAAGAAAAGGAGGAAAAAGAAAGAATCATGTGCAGACGTTCCTGTGTTCCTATCTTCGGAGTTCTTCTATTCCTATCTCTGCTGATTTTTCAGAATGGAAGGAGGGCTTCATTTTCCCTCTCACTTTTCCTTTCACTTTTCTTTTCTCACTCCAAGCAGAAGGGAGAAGACAAGGGAGAGAGGTGAGAGATAGAGAGCCCCTTACAGCTCAATAAATAGAAAGGTGACCAAAATGGATGAAAAGATCGCCTGCTTTCATTTCTAAACGGCCTGTCCCCGCCTTCTTTTCTTTGCACAGTGCAGACATAAATAAACACGAAAGAAGAAAGAGGGCCTTTCCCTACTATTTCCTTCGCTATCCTGGAATCCTGGTTCGGAAAAGAAAGGAACAGCTACCAGCCCCCCTCCCGACTTTCATCTTTCCATTTCTTTTGTTTCGTCACGCTCAAACGGACAGAAGAAGGGCGGCCTCTAGTGTTTCCTCGCCTCCTTCTGCACTGTTATAACTTCCTTTCTTTTCTCTTCTGTTGCTTTGTGTGACAGGTGCGGGGGCATTTCTTTCACTTTTCCCATCGAAGAAAGGCTCCCTTCCTATCCGCATATTTTCTTTTCTCTTCCTTCCGAAAAAGACTATAAGAGGCAGGGATAAACAGAATGAAAGAGGAGTCTCCTTTTGCTTTCCGACTACCTTCTCACCACAAAAAGGAACCCTTCTCTTTCTTCCCTTGACTTTCTTTTATCTTGTTTGCATTCTACGTTTCCCACTAAGAAAATGAGACAATGATGAAGATAAGTGAAGAAAGATCACCTGCCTGCACGCAGGTTCTCGGGAGCTTGTCTCGACCGGGCTGTCCCTCCTTTCCCCGCACGTCCCTTCGCTTGTCCCCATTGATCTCTCGCGTCTCTTCCCTTTGCACTCTCTCGCCTCTGGCCCGCCTTCCATGCTGAAAATGCTGAAGAGATACGAAAAGAAGAGCTCATGATTCTTTCTCATTTCTTCTTCTTTATCATTCCCATATGAGTAAAGAAGAAAGATTAGGAGAGAGAGCCCTGCGGCAATTCCTGTTTTGGGCGGAAGAAAAGAAACAAAGAGATAATAAGAGAGAAGAACGAATAAGAAGGTGCCGGGAACGAAGATGGAAACTGCTCCTTCACCCTGGTCTATCGCTTCCTTTTCGAATTTTTTCGGAAGGAAGATCGAAGAAGATAGTGGGAAAAAAGGAGTGAAGTGCCCGTAGAAGGGAGAAAGTGAAAGGGATGCCCCCGCAACTTTCATATTTTGATAAGAATGCAAGCGCCAGCAGAGAAGAAAGGAAGAGAGAATAACGAGGAAAGAGCGGAAACCGAGGAGATTAGGAGCCAGGTTTCCCTGATTGATTCTCGTCACTTTTCTCTGTTTTGGGAAGGTAAAGGGCTTTATATCTCCCACCTCTCTCCCTTGTCTTTTTGGTTGGAGTGAGAAAATATAAAGAAAAGCGAAAGGAAAAGTGAGAGGGAGAAAGAAGCCCTCCTTCCATTCTGAAAAATCTACAGATTTAGAGACAGGAATAGGGGACAATATGGAAATGATTCTTTCTTATTTCTTCACGTTGTCTCCTTTCCCTATATGACTCCCTTGCGATTTCCCTTTTGGTTGGAGTGAGAAGAGACAAAAGAAAAGTGAAAGGAAAAGTGAGAAGGAGAAAGGACGCAGAGATAGGAATAGAAAAACTCAGAAGAGACACAGTCTCAGACAAGATAATTTGCTGACTTGTGATTGCGTGGCTGCCTTGGCAAGAGTTGTTGCTGGAATGGCTTTTGGGAAGAAAGTCGGAGGTGCACTTTTCGATCCAGGCGTGTTTCGCGAGCCGCAGCTTCTGGCCTCCTCTTGCTTGGGCATGGCCAAGCGCCAGGGAGCAGAAATGCTGCGTTTTTCAAGTTTCAAATTCGTTTCTGTAGTTTCAGACTAGTTGCAAAATAGTTTCAAAATCCAGTTGCAAAATCGTTGTTAAGGGGAAACTGCGTTTTTCTACGCGCAATTGCAAAACATGCAGGAATCTCTAGAGGTTCTGGTTTTCAACAAGCGCGGACAGAAATTGCAGCTCCTCCTTAACAGCGATATTTCAACTGGATTTTGAAACTAGTTTGAAACTGACTTGAGACTAATTTGAAACTATGGAAACGATTTTGAAACTCGAAACACTACCATATTCCGGACTTTCTGCCCCCCTCCTGGCCCCTCACATATGGCCCTCACGCACGGGAAGTTGACTTTGGTCAGGCGTGACTAGAGACCAGAGCTTCCGAAAGCTTGCCAATCTCCGGACAGTAGGAATAGAGGAATGTGTGGAAATGATTCTTTCCTAGTTCTTCATCTTCTTTCTCCTTTCCCTATGTATGAGAAAAGAAGACAGACAAGGAGAGAGCCCCCTGCAATTAGGAATTTCCCCAGAAGAGAAAGCGAAAGGGATGCCCCCGCAACTTTCACGTTTTTGAGAAGAATGTAAGCACCAAAAGAGAAGAGAAAGGAAAAGAGAATAGCGAGGAAAGAGGCAAGGAAACACAGGAGGCAGCCCCTCCGCTTGCTTCTTGAATGAAAAAGACATCGGAGAAATGGAAACATGAAATTGAGAGGGAAGTTGCGCTTTTCCTTGCTGAAGAACAAAGCAATTCCAAAGAACATGGAAAGCACAAGGAATGTACTGGGAAAGGTAGGGAAAGGGATTCTTCCCTCTGACTTTTTTGCTTTCCTTCAATCTGCGATGTAAAGGGAAAGATGCAGCGGACAGGTCTGAAAATACAGGCAGGTGATCTTTTTTCCTTATTGTCATCATTGTCTCTTTTTCTCAGTGGGAAACGTCTCATTTTCTCAGCGGGAAACGTAAAGTGCAAAAAGATAAAAGAAAGAAAGTAGGGAAGAGTTGGAAGGTTCCTTTTTGTGGTGAGAAGGTAGTCGGAAAGCAACAGGAGACTCCTCTTTCATTCTGTTTATCCCTACCTCTTATAGTCTTTTTGGGAAGCAAGAGGGAAGAACATACGCGGATAGGAAGGCAGCCTTTCTTTGATGGGGAAAAGGAAAGGGATGCGCTGCCCCCTCAATTTTCATGTTGATGGGAATGAAGAAGAAAGGAAGAGAGAATAGCGAGGAAAGAGGCAAGGAAACACATGAGATTAGGAGTCAGGTTCCGGTGATTGATGTTCGTCTCTTGTCTTCTTTTTGAGAAGGTCGCTTTTGGTTGGAGGAAGAAGTCCGCCTTCCATTTTGAAGAATCTGCAGAGATAGGAATTGAAGAAATCACAAGAGACACGGATAGAGGACATTATAGACATGATTCTTTCTTATTCATTCATCTTCTTTCTTCTTTCCCTATATGAACACAGAACAAAGACAAGGAGAGAGAGCCTCCTGCAATTGGGAATTTCCCCAGAAGAGACAAAGTGAAAGGGATGTCCCCCGCACCTTTCACACTTTTGAGAAGAATGTAAGCAACAGAAGAGAAGAGAAAGGAACTCATAATAGTGAGCAGGGAGGCGAGGAAAGACTGGAGGCAGACCTTCTTTCCGGTTGAGCAGGACGAAACAAGAGAATGTAAGATGTAAGTCGGGAGGGAGGCTGGTAGCCGTTCCTTTCTTTTCCGAACCAAAGACAAAGAGGAAGGAAGGCAGGATAGGTTTCCGTGATTGATTTTCGTCACCTCTCTATGTTTTGAGAAGGTAAAGGGCGTTCTATCTCTCACCCCTCTCCCTTGTCTTCTTGGTTGGAGTGAGAAAATATAAAAAAAAGCGAAAGGAAAAGTGAGAGGGAGAAAGAAGCCCTCCTTCCATTCTGAAAAATCTGCAGATTTAGAGACAGGAATAGGGGACAATATGGAAATGATTCTTTCTTATTTCTTCACGTTGTCTCCTTTC